GTTAGCATTACTCTTATCAGCTAATTTTACTGCGATCAGCTAATGTTACTACATTTAACTAACATTGCTGTATTCAGTTAATTTTAGTGTGATCAGCTAATGTTACTGCAATCAGTTAGCATTACTCTTATCAGCTAATTTTACTGCGATCAGCTAATGTTACTGCATTTAACTAACATTGCTGTATTCAGTTAATTTTAGTGTGATCAGCTAATGTTACTGCAATCAGTTAGCATTACTCTTATCAGCTAATTTTACTGCAATCAGCTAATGTTACTGAGATCGGCTGAGAACGTTACTGAGAACATCAGTGTGATCAGCCAACTTTACTGTGTTCAGCTAAGAAACTGCACTACAAAAGAAATTGTGGGGGGAAAAGTGTTAAAATAGAACAATGCTGCATCCCAATCGGTTCATTCAAAATACCAGTAATCTATCATATCTGTCCACCACATCTGGATCCTGATATTTTTGCTCATTCTTCTTCTCAGATTTGCTCACGATCTGTCAGCTTGGATAGAGACCATCAGAGATTTTCAAGTCGTGCCACAGATTCTCAGTTGGATTGAGGTCTGGGCTTTGACTGGATCATTCGAACACATTCTGGTTCTTGGCTTTGAACCACTCCAGTGTAGATTTGGCAGTATGTGTAGGGTTGTTGTCCTGTTGGAAGATGAACCACCACGTCTTGCAGATTGGAACAGGTTTTCTTCTAGGACTGCCCCATATTTGGCTCTATCCATTAGGCCCTCAGCTGTGACCAGTTTCCTAGTCCCTACTGATGAGAAGCATCCCCACAACAACATACAACCACCACCATGCTTCACTGTGGGATGCTGTTTGCTGAGCCGTCAACATGAAACATTTCATAATTTTTTTTTAATGCTACTCTTCCATAAAGGCCAGCTTTGTTGAGGGTCTAGGCTGTGGTTGTCCTGTGAACAACTTCTCCCATCTCACCTGTGGATATCTCCTGATCCTTCAGAGATACACATGGCCTCTTGGTTGCTTCTCTGACTAATGCCCTCTTTACTGCACTTTGGTGGATGGCTTCTTCTAGGCAGAGTCACGTTTTTTCCTATTTCTATCTATCTATCTGTCTATCTATCTATCTATCTATCTATCTACAGGTGGCAATGCTGCACAATTATGCCGTGAATGTTATTATTTTCTTCCAGGTAGACCGAGATTCCCTGTCCTTGTTCCACTGCAGTGATTTATGATCCGAGATTTGCACCTCCATCTGTTAAACTCGTGCCAACCCTCAGGTTAAATCTGACAACATTAATAAACACAGCAACGAGAAGCTTTAACATCATTCATTCAGATTAAATCTATGAACAAACTCTATGAAATAAATGTCAAATACACTTTCATTACCTCCATAAATGTTCCATTCTGTTTATTCATTCTGAATTATTTAACAGATATTAAGCTGTAGTGAAATACAGCCAACCTGTAACTGTGTGTGTTATCTCAAGCCTGTGCAGGAAGTTTAGAAAAATAAACAGAAAGAAAAAAAAAACGTTGTAATGGACAGCACTGAGTAGACTGTCATAACAAAGCATCACCGTAGCACAAATCGATAGGCGTCACATCGAGGCTCCGATGTTCTAGAGCGGGAAGGGTGAAGCACACTTACACAAACAGACCACATCTGCGGGAGAGAACTACTCATAACCACCTAACCCGTTAACCTGACACACACTTGAAAATATGCACACACTCAGGAAGCGCTGCGAGCTCCACGGCGCTGAAAGAAAGAGACGTGATTGTTCGGGGAAGCTTTAGGAAACCACTCAGCCTCAATTATAATGGCATTGAAGTAAAACAGAAGAATTGTAATCAAAGGTTCAGAAAGAAAACAACCTCAACAGGTGGTCTAAAATACATCTGTGTTTTTGGGGGAAGAATTTAAGTCAAGTCAAGTGGCTTTACTGTCATTTCAACCAAACAAAGCTAGTACAGTACACAGTGAAATGAAACAACGTTCGTCCAGGACCACGGAGTTCCACATACACGAGCGCCCAGACACCGAAGATTTTCTAGTGTTGCTCTGATTGACAGCTGAATGAGTATGCCATCCCTCCACCCCATCCCTCCACCCCTTGAACTCTTGGCCATGGATGGTTGTGGCATTATCAGGATTTGAACTCATGATCTCTGATGATAACACTTTTCTGTGATTAGACAATCAGTAACATGAAGCAGGCCATGATCGAACACTAATCAAGACAGGCACATAACAAACACAGGCACACAGACACAATGCTGGAGCAAGACATCGCAAAAAGTAACACTGAGAGCCCAGGATCTTAAACTTTTTGACTTTGGAGATGAAGGTCATGCGATGAGGTTGTGGGTGTGTGTGTATCCTGGGAGTTCAGACTTCAGGAGTTGCAGACACATGTTTGACAGTTTAAATGTGAAAATGTAAAATTACAATAATACATTTGGATTGGAAGCTGTCAAACCAATAATGATGCATTTGTTACTTTCGAGAGAAAGCTGTAGAAGTTCTCACATTTGTGCTCTTTCTTTCTCTCTCTCTCTCTCTCTCTCTCTGTCCCTCTGTCTCTCTCAAACACACACATACACACACATTCCCTCACTTTCATTACAAGTTGTAGCAAAACTCTTGAATGAACAGCTGTGTGTGCTGAAAGATACAGTATGATTGGATAAAAACGTATCATTTCTCTCAATATCACCAAATTAAGATCTGTGTGTTTTTTTTTTTTTTATGTTGGATGAAGACGCCACTGCTGGCAGATTTGAATTTGCATGTGTTTGCTTATAATTGGTATGTGTGTGTCAATCTTGGATAGAAAAAAAAGTGTTAATGTTGCCTGAACAAATGTTCCAATTTATTTAAATGATGTGTAAAATTATTGCAAAATCAGGGATCATTTTAAAAAAATAAGCTTGATGGTAATCAACTTTAAATTATTTTCGATTATTTTCAGTACAAGGATAATATTGGCTTTACAAGAAACCTGTGACATGCAGTGAGTGAAGGCAGGATGCAAGTGTGTAAACTCAGCGTGTTCCTTAATCGAGGCAATCCAAGAATCGTAATTGGTGCGTAAACAGTTTTGACCCCTAGGTCAAAACGCAGGCAGGCAACATCAAACATGGATAATCCATAAATTAAAAAAAGTCTAAAAGTCAAAACATAGGCAAGAGTCAAAAAACTGGAACTAACATGAGGACAAGAAACCAAGTTTTTGTTGATCCTCTTTCGGCTGCTCCTGATAGGGGTTGCCACCATGGATCATTGGTCCTTGTATTTGATTTGGCACAGTTTTTAACGCCGGATGCCTGGTTCTTGACGCAACCCTCCTCAATTTTATCCGGGCTTGGGAGCAGCACTGAGAGCAGACTGTTGCATGCTACCCCAGTGGCTGGGGTCGGTTCCCTGCCTGGGGGTCGAACCCGGGCTGCAGCAGTGAGCGCCCTGTGGCCTAACCACTAGTCCTCCAGGGACCTGGGACAAGAAACCAAGTCTCAGACTTAAATTTGAGGTATACAGTATTCAGCTTGAACAAATGATTCGTTCTAAATGAATACAAATACAGGTGCGAATAAAAGGTACGTTATTTGTTTTGGGGTTTTTTTTTGCCAAAAATCTTCACATTTAAACTAGGGGTGTAAATCAGGCCTGTTATCCTGCAGGACAAAATAAAAAGGTTGTGTGAGGAAGAAGTTTAAAGAAACATGTATGAAAGGTACTTTTGGGAAGGTTGCCAGGTTTCAGCAATTAATTTCAAGACTAAAAAAAAAAAGAATTGTAGGTAGCATAAAAGGTTTGGGCAAGGGGAAACAAGTTAACTGTGGTGCGCACGCATTTCTGATTTATTTATAAATCTGCTGCCCCATATAACGATTCATATTAAAATGATCAACTTGTATGTTCATTGTGCATGATCATTTAAGGTGTACTTAACTGATCATTTTTGCATCATTATTCAAAAAAATATATATCATACAGTCATTATAATGAAATGCTACTTAAAGGACCCTACTTTGACTGGCAGTACTGCAAGTGCATCCCAGATTTGTTATACATTTTGATAGCATGGCAAGCGAACATTCCTGATCTTTCTGGAAAGTAACAATCCTCAAATTGAAGGTAAATCTTATAAATTATTAGATGGCTATTATTGTCGACAATAGCTTGCTTACTTACATTAGATGGAAAGATAGAAAGCTTGCCAGAAAGTTCCACAGATCATCTGGTTCAGGAGTGTCTTCTTTTGTTTTCCAGTGTTTCCTGGGCAAAGCTCCCAGTCTAAAGCATGCCATCTTCTGGTTTAAATACGAATAAGAATGCAGAAAAGAATACTTAGAGCACTAAACAAATACAGTGGTATTGCCTTAAACTCCTGGTACATATAGACAAAGTAATTAATTAAAGAAAAACACACATAACAGGTGAACACAGTAGGGCAACTAATCAATGAAAGGACAGGACCAAAACAGAAACAAAACAAAGGCAGTGCAAACAAAAGCACATGATGTGTGAAGGCAGCACTCGTTGCATGTGCTGAGAAGAGGAATTCATGACGAAACAGATTTTGAGATTTTTTTTTTTTCCCACATTCAGGAATGTATAAAAGTAAAAATTCTGGTTCGATGTGATCTAAAATGATAGCGCAGGTAAGAAATGCAAACCAAAGTGGCTTCAAAGCTGCTCACATGAAATTCACAGGAATTCGAATAAGCAAGAGCATGTGCTTTTTCTGAATTTCATCCGAATGCTGAATAACCTTGTCCCTACTCTAAGAATGTACACGTATCCAAAACACAAGACTGCAAGCATCCACTCTGACACAATCATGCGCCGTGTCCAAATCCATTTGCACAAGAACCTGAGCGAATAATTAAAAACCTTCATGAGTGCATGTGGGAGAAATGGCGTGCACTGTTGCACATGACAGATGGGAAGCGTAAAACCCTTGCTTTTTTTTTGTTTTGTTTTGGTTTGTTTTTTTTTTTTCCTGGCTGGGATTTTAACACCCTCACAGCATCACAGTCCACTGCTCGGCTGACAGACGGCACACACCGCAACCACTGGACTGCTTAATGGACATATCAGGTGTCCTCGTAGGTAGAAAAGGCTATTAAACAATACAAGAGGAACTTGAGCGGCGCACCGGGAGAACATAAGCCTCAAAGGGTAGCCGTCTTCAGAGAACACAGCAAGGATTGTCCATTATGGAAAGTTTGCCTCGGCTTCAGATTACCTGCACCGGGTTTGTTCAGAACTACAGAGGCGGATTGTCGGAGTTTAATGGATAAAGAGATTGAATAACAAGGCAACATCGAAAAGGGGCCATATTTCCCAAGGCCTGCTTGAAAAACTATTAAAGAGCACGTTCAGGGAGAATCTTCTCATTAAAAAGAGCTAGAACAATTAATAGTGGGCTTAAAGACCGAACCTAATCTTGTGGAAAAAATTCATAGAATCGTAATCAGGTGGAACGATTTTGTGAATGAATCTGTGAACATTGTCCCTCGTCCTAATCTAAACCAATCATTAGCTTTCTTAAATGTTCTCTTGTGTGAGAATGTTCATACAATCATGAGATGATGCTCGTGATAAGAAAATAAGCCGTTACGTAATGGTGTGTAATAACGGAATTATTTTTCTAGAATATTTTTATGTATTTAGAACGACACATTGTACCTTTTCTTTCCATTTAGAGTTACGTTTAATGTTTTGTAACATCCACAAAACAAGTCAGTTCTTGTTAACACTTATGTTATAGCAGCTGTAAACATTCGTTCCCTCACTCTCACCCCCTCTCCCTTTTTATTGTTTTCTCTATTTTGAAGTTGTGCAGTTGTGAAGTTATGCAGCTTGTCATATTAGCAAGAAAGTCAAGCGCAAAGTCTTCTGTCCTGAAGACTTTCCTATAAAGGAAATCTTATTTATGGCTTAGTTACGGCTTTACATCTGACTCTTACAAATCACTGACACTGGAGACTCCTTCCAAAAATGCTAAGTAAACAACTCCGTTCAGAGAATATGTCAACCATCCGCCCATGATACGATAACATATTAGAATTAGTATTATCATAAACCTGTTACGGAAAATCAATCAACACCTTCTGACCAATCAGAATACAGAATTCCAACGGCACTGCAAAAATGGGTGAAAATGCCACATTTAATATCACGGCCATTTCCTTCAAAATGAGTGTGACAGTCTGTTATATAACTTATAACTTATTATATAAGTCATATAACCTATATGACTTGTTCTCACGTTCTCTTTAAAATAGTTAGATAATTTAATAACAAACAAGAAGCTCAAGACCTCGACTTTAGAGATGATTAAGAGTTAATTATGCATTGATGATATAAAAATGGCAAATTTGCTTAGTTGCATATTTACATTTACTGTTACAGTTTCTAAATGACTGTATATTCTTAAGCAGTCACTGATTAATTACTAAACTAACAAAAAAAAAAAGTTCACTTGTATTTCCTGCTGTATTCTAATTGGTAAAACATTGCAATTACTGGATGCACTTCTGGATGCCCAGAGCGAGGTCATACTTGTATAGCTAGTCTCTGAATTTTATATACAGTACATACTGTATAAAGAGGGTCCCTGGAGGACCAGTGGTTAGGCCCCAGCGCTCTCACCACTGCGGCCGGGGTTTGATTCCCAGCCACTGAGGTTGCATGCAACAGTGTGCTCTCAGTGCCGGTCCCAAGCCCGAATAAAATTGGGGAGAGTTGCGTCAGGAAGGCCATCCAGCGTAAAAACTGTGCCAAATCAAATACGCGGACCAATGATCCGCTGTGGCGACCCCCAACGGGAGCAGCTGAAAGAGGAACAACAGCAACATACTGTATAAAGAAGATCTCCACTTATACAAAATCTATATATCAAATAAAATTAAGGTAGAAAATGATGCAAAAGGGAATTCTGTTTACGCTTGACTGTGTGCCGCCTTATTGTGGTGTTTGTATCAGAGAACTCGGGCTAGGTGAGTGTTGTCAGAGTTTCTCAGTTGACTGGGAATTCTGACTTGATTGACCGCTCCGTTTTTCAGCATTGGATCACAGCATTAACGTAATAATACAAATGTTCATTGAATATGCAAATACGCAACTCTCTACATGTGGTAGTAGTAGCAGCTCAGGGGTTTATGACATTGGGCTTCTGATTGGAAGGTTGTGAGTTCAAATCCCAGCACCACCTATCTGCCACTGCTGGGCCCTTAAGCAAGGCCCTTAACTCTCAACTGCTCAGTTGTATAAATGCGATAAGTTGCTCGGGATAAGTGTGTCTGCCAAATGCCGTAAGTGTACATTTTCTATGAAAGAGCATAAACAGTTCACCTGAAACAAAAATCTTTGCAGGCAAAAATGAGGAAATCAGGGGAGGATCAGGCCTGATAAAACTTTCTGATCCAGCTGGATTCATGGCCTGTGATATACACACACACACACACACACACACACAGACACAAGCACACGCAGATAAACACTCCCACCTTAGCACTCCAAACACACTCGCACGCGTCCTGCAGTCTGATTGACCCGCTGTGTATACTGCCAGCCCAGTGATGAGAAAGTAAATAGCTTATTTGTCTCTCGGGTCGGGTGTAGAGAGCAAGATCTATCTTTCCATACATCATGCTCAAAGAGAACCTTTCTGTGCACAAGTGTGTGTGTGTGTGTGTTTGGCTTTAGATGAATCAGGAAAGGAAGGATGAAGAGAGTGCTGGTTAATTGGTATGCATATTTCTACTTAAAAGCACAGAAGAGGAGAGGAGCAGAGAGTTATCTGGTGGCAGGGGGAAAAAAACGAAAGCCATGCAGTGGGTTCACGTCTGACTCGGTGCGTCATTATTTATTTATCCGCATGCATTTGTGTGTTGGGCAATATTTCCAACATGCTCTTAGGGCATAGTCTAAAAAAATATGAGATGCACCATTCTCGCTACAGCAATACCTCTAATTGGATGTCATGTCCAAAGGCAAAGTGGAGTAAAAAATCATTTTTTTAAAAATAAAATTTCCATTTTTTCAGCTGTGGGATTTAGACAGATAGATAAATCAATCGATCGATTAAACAAAAAAACAAACAAACAACTGGATGTCATGTCCAAAGGCAAAGTAGAGGAGAAATACATTTTTTTTTTTCAAAATCTCACCTTTCAGCTGTGGAATTTTAAAAACAAACAAACAAAGAAACAAACAAACGGATGGATGGATAAATGAATGAATGAAACAAACACATGGATGGATGGCTGGATGGGTGGATGCATAGATGGATGGATGGATGGATAAATGAATGAACCAAGCAAACAAATAAATGGATGGATGGATGGATGGATAAATGAATGAAACAAACAAACAAATGGATGGATGGATAAATGAATGAATGAATGAATGAATGAATAGTAAATAGATTGATCAATCAAACAAATCAATAAATGAATAACTAACAAAATAAGTGACCAAA